CTGTCATTGCAGCTGTAAGAAAGTGGCTAGCCTCTGCTGGCGCAGACTTTTACAGACACGACATACAGGCTCTTGTTCATCGCTGGCAAAAGTGCATAACGAATGGTGCTGATTATGTGGAAAAATAACTGTAAGTAGCTGAAATCTTGTTCTATTTAACTGTGTTATTATGCTTTCTGTATCTGTTGTAGTTTTCATTAAAAAAATAGGAGGCATTATATACAGAATGCTCCTCGTAGTTTACCACAATTCTTTGAACAGTATCAAAATTGGACACTCATATTTCCCTTGCAGCTCCTGGTTCATAGGATCGAATAAGGGACATAATATAATTCTGTAGTACCATATTTGTCTGTATATAAAACATAACATTTTATAATGTACCAGGCCATGACCATACAATAACAGTATGCAAAAGATAAACATTTCTCATCCAACAGTGGTGGAGTTACCAACTGGTTCATATTCCGAAGATGCTACTGACAGTAATAATACTGATCTTGGAAAATTCATAAAAAAAAACCACAGCTTCACCAGCATGAATTTTAAACTGGCAGACAACTCCAAGCTTCTAGTTTCAGTGGGTGCCAGAAGAGTCTGTTTCCTCATGATAAAACAAGGTTCTGTCATCTTGAAACACAACAAACACTGAACTGGTCCACAAACTGTATTTGGTTTTCAGTGGCAAGCAAGAGATTTTCACTGCCTGATTACTGCAGTCAACCTGGGACAAAAATGACTGGCCTATTTCCTAGTGTAAAGTTAATGTTTATAAATCCAGCAACCTAAGTTTTTGGTGTGGTCCAAGCAAGATGGACAACTTCTGTGACATGCAAAAACAGGAATTGCAGGTCAGATTCAGAAGAATGTGCTGAAATTCATAACACTGAGGATTTTTCTGCAGTAGGAGTGGCAACAACAGCAGTATCAATAGCAGTAACAGAAAATTAAGGATAAATTCTTTGATGACAAAATTTTAAATATTATACAGGATGAAATGAACTTGTATGCAATACAACAAATAAATAAGGAACAAAGAGGCCCTCTGACAGAAAGTTGGTATTAGCCCATTGGAAACCTGTCATTACGGGAACTGAAAGTGTTTTGTGTAGTTTTCATACACAGTTCTGTGTTACGTATGCTGTCTGTGCATCATCCCTGCAGCAAAAGATGGACACAGAAAATAATAAATCAAGTCCTACAATAAGGCTGTAATCTTTCTACAAGTCTTACTTTTAATATACATATTGACATCCTGAAAGAGGAGAAAGAATTGACCAAGGAATTTGAATAATACAAGAACAGTACTTAAATATGTTAGTGTTCATGGATGATTAAATTTCACAAGACAGTGACGATAAGCTATAGAATCTATTTTATAATTTAGACGGTACTGGCAAAATGTATAACATGAAAATTTCAACAAACAAAACAAAAATTATGGCATTCAAGGGCAATTTTCCAGTTCAAACTAAAATAACTATTGATGGTACTACATTAAGGCAAATATTTCAGTTGCTAAAAAGTAACATACATCAAAATTAACCACAGATAAAACTGAAAATAATAATAAGAAAAAACAAATTATACCCACAAACCAAGGAAACAAAAGATAATAAAATCAACACCAAACTAAACCCCTAAGAAATAGCTACAGAGTGAAGGCCACCCAGAAAAGAATGTGACAAAAATATATACATTCAACAAATTCAATTAGTATGACAGAATACTGGTACAATTAGAAGAGACACAGGTGAAATATTTTCAGTATTAGGACTATCAACTTGGCTGTATGTCAGTTAATCTTGGGATGGTTACAATAAGAGGCGTTCACAGAATACGAGTACAACCACTAGAAATAAAATGCTGAACATTTAAAGGCTTCACTAGAGTAGAACATATTAAGAAAGAAATGAAAATATAAATCCTTCTGATTCAGCTACTAATAGAAGATGTCTAAATCAAGACCTTGCAAAAGCGGAATTACTATGTGGAACGAAAACAGGCTTGACTGTCTATACTTTGATGTGAAGAAGATCAATCATGCAAATCAACTACACAACTGCAGCTGGTATGTCTCAAGATAGTTTTCTCAACGTTTTGGCTATGCTGCACATATGTAATTATTATGCATATGTAACCAGAGGACAAAGAAATTATGACCCCGTACTCAAAATATGTCCAATGTTAGACTGCCCCATCTCAGAATTTCAAGAAATACATATGCCTGAGGAAGAACTCACTGCTGATTTGGCAATTTGTTCATTCTAATGGTGCATATTCCTCTGTATGAAAATGAAAAGTGACTATGTACTTAACACTGAGCTACAAGCTAGCATATATCCTACTGACACATAAGACAACACTGCATTCAATGTTGTCAAAAGGCTGTCAGCAAATAAGGAATAAGAGACATACCATGTAAAAAAGCGGCCTCCGTAGTCTAGGGGTAACGTTCCCACCTCATGACTCAAGGTATGCGGGTTCAAACCTGGCGGAGGTCGTGGAATTTTTAAGGGTTGAAAAATTCAGGGAACAAGTCCTCCGGGAGGNGGGACTTTAAGCCATGGGTCCCGTGTCATAGATTTATGGCACGTAAAAGATCCTCATGTCTCTAGGAGACCTCTGAGCTAAATTAGGCAACAAGTTTCCTGCCCAAGCCATTTCCAATGCCTCTGGTAGATGGGGGAAATATCAGGTACCGAGGGCCGACCTCGTTGGCTGAACGGGGCTGATAGCACGCACCAGTACCGGTAGGGTATGGCGACAGTAGAAATTAAAAAGGGGGACGCACAATGGACC